TATAACCTGAGCAGGCCACGTGACCATATCCAGGCAGCAACACCTAAAATATTTATATAACCACTCAAATTTCATTGACATTTTCATTTTAAATTCTGTTTTTTTTTTTCTTTTTGTGCTCTTGTTTTATTATAGATCAATGTGTGCACCGCATACATGTTACAAAACAGTTGAGAATACAGTAATAATACTGTAAAAACACCTAAATCTACAGTAACATACTGTACACAGCAAGAAACTGTTAAGAAAACAGTACTGTAGAAATAGATAGATAGATAGATAGATAGACAGACAGACAGACATGCGTATATACACACACAAAAAAGAGTATTTTAGTGGAAAACAAAGTATTTCAAGCCACAATTCACAAAGACATCCTACAAAACAATGGAGAATAAATGTAGCCTATAAGATCTGACACTTATTAGCATCAAATGGCTCCGTATGTGATAACTGAGTGTGTGGGAGGAAGGCTCAGTGCCAATTTCTGTCTTGCTTATCAGTGTTACTATGTGTGAGATTGCCACTGACATTCACAGCTGGTCTGCTTCAATTCTGTGACGGGAAATAATGTGTGTGCGCCCGCGCGTGTGTGTACCTCACAGCGGCATATGCTCCATCCGTCATATGAATCTCACCTGAGCACTCAGAATTAGCGCAGAGCTTGTCAACACATCACACAGGCCGCGTCGAGAGAAATGAGTGATGCAAGGATGAGCAGTCGATATTTTAGTTGCCTACAGAGAGAATTATTGAGCTTTATCACTTTGATTACGATTTGGCTAATCATATTGAAGAGACAAGTTGGCGTTGGACAGAACGTGAAACTTTGAAGGCAGCGCCCCCTGTTGGATAAGATGCTTTTACGATGCTATACGTGGTAAGAAAGAAAGAAAGAAAGAAAGAAAGAAATTGCCTGTGGGGTTCTGTAGATGCTTCTCAAATCTATGCGTAAAAATTGGTTGTGTATGATGCACAATTGTCAGATGAAATCTGATGTTTTGTTTTTCATTTCTTCTAAGTGACTTTACAGTGGCGTCAAATCCACGCGTTTGAGGTATGAGCAGACCTAGTCTACATATTATTCAGTAGGCTATCTATAATAACTACACCACGTAATTTCTCAATAAAAATTCTTTATGATTCCATAATGCAAACCTTATCCAAAACATGACTGGAAAAAAAAATCGAACAGGTTCAAATGAATAATTCATTGCTCTTATCTATAAGGTCACGAATTGCTAATGATGAAAAAAAAAATCATTTCATAAAATATATTTTTTTTTTATCATGTTGTACTTAGGCTAATTGACATACCGATTGCTAAATAGGCTACAATATATGAATATTAAATATCATATTATATAGTCATAACATGCTGTAGCCTAATTTGTAAAATCAAGCATCCAAATGAGGCGGTAACATGTCAAAAATGAGGAGATTTTCAATGACATAATTACTATTTTTATGTCCTTCTGATACAATGAAAAGCCATAGAAACAAACTTACTTCCTCTATTTTTATTCAAACTAAGAAATAATCCAGCAGTCGGGGTGTTTTTCTCCTTTTAATCAAAGTGACATTGATGAACAAATGTCGTCCACTAATATTATTGTTAAAGTACATTTTCAAAGGACCTCCAATACACAGCGCTCGAGGAGAAGAATTAATGTTTTCACACCTTTTGACGCACAAAAGACTGTTGGTTTCGATACACGACGACCTAGGGACATGTATCCCTTTATGGACCACAGGGGCACTTCAAAGACCCAAAGGACCTCACAGACCATCAAAAGACTTCAAGTTTCTATAAGTGAATTTAGATGGCCATCCAGCGCTCATGACCTTCACTTTCCAGAGGACGGTGTAGAAGAAAGATCTCAGGGACAGTGTTCCTCCTCAGCGTGGTGGATTATAACCTAGATTTGACATGAGGCGGTTTACCTGCGGGCTCCTGAGCGCAGTCCTAGCGCTCTGGGTCAGTCTGGTGAGCTCCACGGCGTCGTTCCCTGGACTCCACGAGGCGTTCAGGAGCGGGATGAGAGCACCTGGCAGGAGCAGCGGAGGTCAGGCGGGTCACGGCCGACACACCAACAGATATCCGCTGTATATGCTGCACCTCTACCGGACCCTTCTAACGGGAGACGACAAACATATGAGCCATGAAAATCCAACTCTTTATGAGTCTGATTCGGTCTTGAGTCTCGTCGCCAAGAGTAAGTAGGCTATATGCATATATTATTATTATTAAATATAGTATTTTTTAAACATTTTTTACTTTATACATTAACATTATAACGTTTTACAATAGCCTACCGATATTTTGTTTGCTTTTTAGATGTTACAAATTATATTAATTTAATTAAACATTTTGTAATAAATTAAAAATGAAAAAAGCGGCATGGATTTTATTGCACGGCCAGTCTGCATTCAGCGGTCAAACATTCGCGAGACTAACTATAGGCAATTCCTGCAGAATTCGTGTTATCATCACGAGTAAAAAATAAAACACATTTATTTATTTGTTTACTTAGGCTAGTAAGTAGTATCCGTAGCAGTGTAAAGTCACCCGCCGGTCATTATCGCAAAACAAATCTCTTCGGGTTTATACAAGACCAAGTTTATACAAAATAATTTGATAGGTAGCTTAGTAGTTTAGCTGGTTCTAGGCTAATAGCCAAGTCATGTATTATGCTTATTAGTTAGCGTGTGTATTAGCTTCAAGACGTCTGTTTCAAAGTGGCTTGGGCAGCAATACACATCTAAACAATAAGCACTTTCTACTTTATTAATTGCTTGTCCCGAATGTGGCCATGTGTGAAAACATCCTTTAAGATAATTAAGCACCACACATCACTTATCCTTTCTAGACTGTTTAACTGTCTGTCCTTTGACCAGTCACTAATTTCTTGTCCAAATATTTTTAGGTTGCCATCAGGTTGGTGACAAACTATCCGTGACATTTGACATGTCCTCCATATCAGCGAGCGACAACGTCCAGCGGTCTGAGCTTCGCATTCGCCTTCCAGCATTCGCCTCGGAGATGGAGGTGGACATTTATCATGCATCCAAACGTGAGTGCGATCGAAGCCCTTGTGACGAAGTACGGATTCACCTTGGCACTGTGAAAGCCAAACCAATTGACTCAACCACCTCCCATTCCTCCTGGAGGGTCTTCAACATCACGGCGCTGCTCAAGTACTGGTTGCACCAAGGTGAGAGCGTGTTCTCAGAGGAACCCGTTCAGATGCCTGCAAGATCTGAGGGCCAGGGGCACGAGAACGTCCAGCATCTGACAGCCAACAGAGTCATGATGGTGGTTTACTCCAAGCAGAACCAGGCAAAGTCGTCCACCCTCATCCAGACTGCTGAGCACTCCAAGTACGTAGCTCTGGAGCGGGCCGCTGGTGGAGGTGAACCTGCGCCTCGGCGTCACAGGAGGAACCACCGGACTGATGACAGAGTGCGTGATGCAGCAGCTAGCGTGATTCCTGGTGTTTCACAAGAAGAAGGGGAGAAGAAATCTCTCTGCAGGAAGGTGGATATGTGGGTAGACTTCGATCAGATCGGTTGGAGCGACTGGATTGTTTATCCGAAGCGGTATAACGCCTATCGATGTGAAGGGAGCTGTCCTACACCTGTAGATGAGACCTTCACCCCCACCAACCATGCCTACATGCACGTAAGAATCTCGAAATCTTTGAAATAATTGCAATTAAAATGTTTACTCTTTGCCAGACTGATTCTAATGTTTGTCGTCTTCTCATTTGCAGAGTCTTTTGAAGCTGCACCACCCAGATCGCGTCCCATGCTTGTCCTGCATACCCACCCGTCTGGCTCCACTCCCAATGCTCTACTATGAGAACAGCAAGATGGTCATGAGACACCACGAAGGGATGGTTGTAGGAGAATGTGGCTGCCACTGAGTCTCCAAACCCCAAATGAACTCAACACTAGCACTTTGGATATGTTCCTTAAACCAAAAATACATATTTAAGCACAAATGAAGATAAATTGCTTTAATTTGTACAGTATTTTCACTTGGAATCATGAGGTATCCTGCACTGAGGCACCTGGATTACTGAATGCTATTTTGAAAGCTTTGTGTTTGCCTAATTTGTAAATAGTAGAGTATGTAAATTACCAAATGTAATAAAGTGTTTTCATAATGGTAATAAATGTATTGTGTGTGTGTTTTTAATGAGAAAATCAGCAACAGCAGATGAATAAGGAAAACACTTATCAATTCTCTGGTGTTTATTGATTTTTTTTTTAATGCTTAAATGTCTCTTCAGAAATAACAGGGCAGTTTTAGAGAACTTCACAGCAAAAAATAAAAAATAAAAATATTGTACAAAGGCATTTTACATTATGTTGAATGACACTTTAGGTGAGCATACTCATTATACTCATTAGAAATTAGATTTTACATTACAAAAAGTATCAATGCCAAATGGAAAGTGGTCAAATTCACTGATTTGCGGTATGCTAAATTTATAGGAGTTGGCATCTGGATTTC